TTAATGCTCCAAAATTTTGCCCACTTTATTAGTTTAATATCTTGGTGTTTAAAGTTTCGGACAAGTATCCTGAATTTTTTAAGAGACAATTGTGTTGTTAATGGGGAGGACATGAAATGACATTTTAGCCACTACGAACTTCTTCTCACGCTACACAAAATTTTATCTTTTTGTAAGCCTAAACCCTTAAATTTTTGGGAGGCAGATATTCCTCACTTCCATGTCGAATTTTCTTTTTAGGCGATCAAAACCAACCTAAATCATGTGATAGATAAACAGACAGAGAAAAAAATGTAGAAAAAGACAAGAATGAGTTCCCTCTTAAATAGAAAGAAGAGGATTCAGAGAAATTCTTTTTAAAATAAGGATAAAATTTTCCACAAGCAAACTTGTGATAGTAGCATGATCTAATTTTAACAAAAATTCTAAAGATAACATAACAAAAGGTATCAAAGGTGTCATTATAACGGGTACAAGCTTTAGAGTACTACAGAACAAAAATAAATGACACTGTAGGGTACTAAACCGAAAGTAACCCTTATCCGATTAAAAAAGAAAGTAGGACAAAATTTTAATGCGATACTTTTGCAAAGAATAATTTCTAATTTCACTTTTCCCATTTATCTCACATTATCTGAACTAACGGTTGCAAGTTTTACAAATATTGTTCAACTTGGACAATTATCCCAGTTCTAGTTGAGAAGTTTCAATTGACTGACAAGCTATGAACAAAAGTCAGAGAAACAATCAAGACAACAATGAGATTTTCACTGTAAGTCACTCAGTTTACTGTGGATATGATGGGAATGGAATTTTAGTCAAAGTTTAATCCGCAACAAAATGTAATACTTCTTGTTTCCCAAGGATTTAATCCAAACCGGTTGAAATAAAACTTTAAAAAAAAAGGAAGAGGACTGGGGGAAAATTAGAAAGTACATGGACAAAAGCACTGACCTGAAAACCGATGCATGAAGTATTCAGAACTACTAAGGTATATGCAAAGTTGGTCAAGGTAAGCATTTTTCTGGCCGCCTCATTTTTTGGGGAAATAGCCTGCTGCCATCTGTAGATTACTGTTCAAGCGAGAGAAAGGGTATAAGTTAATCAGGGCAAAGGAAAACTTAAAAAAAAAGGGAACATCTACTTATTTTAATTGTTCTGTTTTATTTTATTATTTTGAAAGAAGACTGGCTCTGCAGAAAAGAGAAGCCTAGAAACAAACTAAAAACAAGGACTGCAATTCAGCCAACTCCGTATGAATGATCACACTGCCTGGGAAAGAAATACCTCGTGAACCCGCAATCATCAATGCTGTTTGAACAAAAAATATGATGTATCCTGGATATAATCCCTTCACAAAAAACCAAAAAAAAAGTTGCTCTAAGCATTCACAACAATAAACAGAAGCAAATTAGATATCCATCTATACTTGCCAATAGATCCTTTTAACTAAAATTTCCAGATTTGGATCAATATTAACTAAGGGGTTTGGATAACTCAAATCTATTATATCTAGAGAATTTTTAAAATTGTTCCCCAAAATCATTGCATGTTTGGGGGGATAAATCTCTAAACAGGATGATTGGAGGGGTATATTTAAGATAACCCATCAACTAAGGGGCTGTTTGTTTTGAGTATTTTACCTCGGGGAAGGCGTTTTGGGGAGAAAGCTGTCATAATGGCAGCTTTCCACCCCCTCCCCGAGGCAAAAAAACCAAAACAAACAGCCCCTAAGTGAAAAGGTGCATAGAAAACAAGCAATATCAATATTTATCAATTTCCAATGAATAGGTATCAATGAATAAAATTTATCAAAATCAACTATCAATGGGAATATGCTTAGAATAATGAAGAATCGAAGAAGTCATATAACCCCCCACCCATTAAAGAAATCGACTACTCTAACAAAAATTCATGATGGCCGGCTATTGTCTACAGAGTCTTTTTGTGTATAGTATCAAGCATCTAATTTGTCAAATAAAAATGACCGCCGCCTCAATGAATTATAACATATAAAAAACATGGGTGTATAACAAAAATTTAAGATTATACTGTTCTTTAAAAAAAACCAACATCATGTATTAACAATTCTTTTTTAAGAAAATAAACAAAATCGCATACAATAGAAGAAAGAAAAATGTTTTCTTCCATTAACTATGTGAATCGTTAAACATCAAACTCCTTAATGATTATTTCGCCCAAAGGTTCAAAAGAAAAATAGGAGAATGCAGCCATCATCTGACCAAACAAAGAACGAAAAAAGAAAAAAGAAAAAAAAAAAGGAACAAGAAAAATATACTCACATGCCAGATAGCACTGATAGTTTGTGTAGCCAGCAACTGAAAGAATCCAGGTTTCTTTCCTTTCTGAACGAGTCTATCATAAACATCTGCAGCAAATTTACAGGTTTAATATAACCTATAATTCTGCCATCAGGACGTCAGATGTAGATATGCAAAGCTCAGCAGAAACATCTGCAGCAAACTTACAGGTTTAATATAACTTATAATTCTGTCATCAGGGTGTCAGAAGTAGATATGCAAAGGTCAGCAGAAGAAACTACAGTTATTACAACAATAACATCTGCTGCGTCTGTCCAGTGTCCACATACATGCACCGTGGACATGAACATAGGCACGCATGAACAATCACAAATACACATACACATGTACACATACTCACACAAGCATGTATGAGCACAACACAGCCACCACAGACAGAAATTCAATCACAAAATGACTAGTGTGTTCATGTTCTACTGTGCAACTCTAGGATGAAAACGAAAGCACTTGTTTGTGCACATCCAGGCCTGAATGTCTGCATATAAGTGTGAATGAGATACAGGACTACCTCCTTGTGACGATTACAGACAATAGGAACATAATTTTGTTATGGTTACGGTTGAAATAGAAACCCTAATTGTATTATGAAATCTTTTGGGCTTATATAGACCCCTACAACATAACTTACAAATAACACCCTATCTATTACTAATATCTCAACACTCCTCCTCAAGATGGGCGAAAGATATCCACTAAGCCCATCTTGTCACATCCTCTAATCATATCTACTGAGCTAAGTCCTTTAGTCAGACAATCTGCTGCCTGATCCTTAGTTAGAACATGACTTAACTCAAGTAGTCCATTGTCCAACTTCTCTTTGATGAAAAACCTATCGATCTCGATGTGTTTGGTTCTATCATGCTGCACTGGGTTGTTGACAATACTGATGGTTGACTTGTTATCACACCACAGCTTCATCTTGGCTCCTTGATCCAGCTTCAGCTTCACTAGCATACTCTTCAACCACAACAACTCTGTAACCCCTAAGGCCATGACTCTATACTCTGCTTTAGCTGTTGATCTCGCTACCACTGATTGCTTCTTGCTCTTCCACGAGACCAAGTTGCCTCCTATAAAGATACAATATCCTGAGGTGGACCTCTTGTCATCAGCACAGCTAGCCCAATCAGAGTCACAATAACCCTCGATGCTCACATGTCCATTCTTTCTGAATATCAACCCCTTTCCGGGGGCACTCTTCAAATATCTCAGAATCTGGTACACTGCATCCATATGACCCTTCCTCGGATCGTGCATGTAGCGACTCACCACGCTCACTGCAAAAGAGATATCAGGACGTGTGTGACTCAAATAGATTAACCTTCTCACCAGCCTCTGGTATCTGTCACGATCAACTGGTTCTCCAGCCTCAGCACCTAGCTTGAACTTCTGGACGATCGGTGTAGTTACAGGTTTTCACCCTAACATCCCTGTCTCTTTGAGAAGATCAAGTGCATACTTTCTCTAGGATAGGACGATTCCCTCCGCTCCTCGAGCTATTTCTATTCCAAGAAAGTATCGAAGCAAGCTAAGATCTTTCACCTCGAATTCCTTACCCAGTTTTATTTTGAGTTGGGCAATCTCCTTCAAATCATTCCCTGTAATAATCATATCATCCACATATACCGCAAGCATGGTAATGTGGCCTCCACTCCGTCGAAAGAACACGGTATGGTCGGCGTTGATCTCCTGGTACCCCATACCAATCATAGCCCTTCTGAATCTGTCAAACCAAGCACGAGGAGACTGCTTCAACCCATAGAGAGACTTCTTCAATCTGCAGACCTTTCCTACTGTCTGATCTGTACTGAATCCTGGAAGTATCTCCATGTATACCTCCTCCACTAGATCTCCATGAAGAAATACATTATTCACATCTAGTTGGTGTAGCTTCCATCCACCATTTACTACCAGAGAGATTAAGGTCCGAACAGTGCTCATCTTCGCTACCGGTACAAAAGTCTCATCATAATCGATGCCATATGTCTGACTATACCCTTTTGCCACCAGACGAGCCTTGTAGCGCTCGACTTGTCCATCTGGATTCTGCTTCACAGTGAAGACCCACTTACACCCAACTGCTCTCTTCCCTTCTGGTAATTTTACTAGCTCCCAAGTGCGGTTCTTCTCAAGAGCTCCTAACTCCTCATGCATAGCTGTTTTTCACTTTGGGTCCTTCTTAGCAACCTGACAATTGTTAGGTATAGTAACAGAATCCAATGGTGCAATAAATGCTCCATGTGCAGGGTGAATATTAGAATATGATACAAACTGGACAAGATCCCAACCATATCTATCGGGAGGATATCCCGCATTGCTGCGAGTAGTCCTCCGTACTAACATTGGTGTGGGAGGAGTAAGGAGAGGAATGATATCACCTTGGGAGGAATCTGATGGTGGTGTAGGTGTCTCAGGAGTCGGGACAGGCGTTGATAAGGGACTTGGCACTAGTGACACTGTAGGTACTGTTTCCGCAATTTGCTTCTCCTTCCTACTATAGGTAAGTAGCTCCCCCTGAGCCGTGGGCCTAACACCTCTTGTCTCCTTATCCTCTTCTTCTTTATTCTCCTGCTCCTTCTCAACCAATTCTCCTTCCCAAGGAATCGTTATAGAAATCGATTTCTCCACATTATTCTCTACATTATTCATCTGCCTCTCACCATTCTCCCCTTCTCGCCTCATAATTCCAGTATTGGGCGAGTCACCAACGGATGAGGGTACCCTCTGTGTGTAATATGGCTCAAATTCACGAAAGTACACATCCATGCTCACGAACAGCCTTTTCTCCATCGGGCTCCAGCAAACATATCCCTTTTGAGTAGCAGAATATCCCACAAAAATACACTTCACCGCTCTAGGGGTAAGCTTCCCGACTGATGGTCTGTTATCCTTCACAAAGCACACACAACCAAATACTTTCAGTGGAAGAATCCCACCATTATCTCCTTTCAGAGGGTATTCTGTTGATCAGCGCCGCTGCAGTCAATACTGCTTGCCCCCACAATGTTTCTGGGACATTCATAGAGATCATCATACTTCTAGCAACCTCTAAAAGATGCCTGTTCTTCCTTTCCGCTACCCTATTCTGAGCTGGTATGTATGGACATGTAATCTGGTGTTGTATTCCCTGAGATGATAAGTATTCTCCAAACACCCTGTTGGTGTACTCTGTCCCATTATCAGATCTCAATACCTTCACCACTGCTCCATATTTAGTCTGAACATACCTATGAAAGTTTTGAAAGCAGCCAAACACTTCACTCTTATTCTTCATCAGGTATAACCAAGTAACACGAGAGAAGCAATCAATGAATGTAACAAAATACTTGTATCCGTTCATAGAACTTGTGGAACAAGGCCCCCAAACATCTGAATGTATCAGATCAAATGCATGAGAACTCCTATGATCAGAACTAACATAAGAGCTTCTAGTAAGCTTTCCCAACTTACATGCATCACACACAAGTTTCTCTTTATTTGCTTTCTCAAATAAAGATGGATACAATCTACTTAAAGTACCAAAGGATGAGTGTCCCAAGCGCTGGTGATGAAGCATCAATTCACTCTCGGCACTCATTTCAGATCCTACTCCTGCTTTCTCTACCATTGACACCAAAGCTGAGTCCAGTCCCTACTGTACCCTTACCAACCACCGGCTAAAATATACCATCAGCTATTTGAATACTATCAGGCGATGCTAAGTGAGTATATGATGAGAACTCACTAGCATTACCTGTCACATGGCAAGACGCACCGGAGTCGACTATCCACTATGATGATCTGTCGGGAGACATAAAAGCAAGAGCATGTATGTTATCAGTACCTTTGGTCGGATGAGCATAGGTAGCAGTGTTACCTCTGGCGAAGAACGAAGTGGATGCCTCCTCAGTCCCACTCCTCAAGTCTCCATCCCCTGCTACTTGCTGTTTTTTTCTGAGTATCGTCAGGAGAGCACGATCCTCCTCTGTAAAGACCACCTCAGCTTCTTCTTCCTCTGCTACCGTCAGATTCACCCGATTCCCTGCTCCTCTTCCACCTCGTCGACCCCCACGACCACGACCATGACCTCCGAACTATCCACGTCCACACGAATCTCTTTCCTTGGATGGCTTGGTGCAAGCATGTCTTAGATGACCCACCGCACCGCAGTTGTAGCATTGTCGAGTCTCTCCCCTAGATCCAGTGTTACTAGAGGCTGCTAGTGCTGACTTCACCACAGGAAGTCCACCTGTCCCCGTCTGTAGCCGAATACGAGTCTCCGCGATTCGCTGAGCGAACTCTGATGTCAATCCCTTGAGAAACACCATAGTCCTCTCCTGTAGAAAGGCCTCCCGCTCTTTACATCCCGGGTCCTTGCAGCTAGCCCAGGGGGTAAAATAATCATAATCCAGCCACATGCGCTCCAACTCTGTAGCATATTCCTGTACAGTCCTCTCTCCCTGGACTGTGGTGTCGATCTCTTCTTTAATCTGGAATACCCTCAGGTTATTCCCCACTTCATCATATGTCCTCCTCAACTTCTCCCAGACGTCCTTCACCTTCTCAATGCCATCCACCGTGACGGTGATCGTCGGGACCAACGAGTTGAGAAGCCAGATGTACACCAACATATGAGTGGACTTCCACTCATCTCTTCCCTCTGAGTCCTCCTCTGGCTCTGTCACCTCGCCTGTCAGATAATCCTCCAGATTTCGCCCTGCAAGGGTATATCCCCCCCGCCGTGACCAGCTCAGGTACGTACTAGGTCCATCCAGCTTCAGATCTATGGTAGGAAGTTCCAACTTCTTGGATGGTTTTGTCATGCTCTCACCAGCCGACAATTTCATCAGCTTCATCAAAGTTGATACCTCCGCGGGGTTCAACTTCTTGATAATCTCCTCCATTGATCAAGCTTCAGACCCAACACCTAGTCATCGTCTCTTCTGACCCTTGTTATGTGCATTGAAAATTTTGGCAGCACCTCTGCTACACAACAAGGGTAAGATTTCAGACAAACTCTCGTTTCTCAGAGGAAACAAGAATAAAAAACAGTAATATATCTCATCGCCGTGAGATATATACTCTTCCTGTCATCAGTTCGAGGACTGAGTCGAGGGAATCCATGTCAAACTCGAGGTTCGACACGGTGATGGCAGGGTTCTGTCAGGGGTGGTGGGAG